AGGGTAGATATGATCATATTTCGTTGCATACATATATGGAATTCTCAAAGATAAAGAAAGATTAAAACTTCCCAAAAGACAGAAATGACCCAAATATTTACCATTCAGTGAATAAATAGAAACTAATGTACTGTATCCTTGCAATTCCATATTACTCACCCCTGAACAAATGAAGAATTGATGTATGTCATAACATGATGGACCTAGAAAACATGTTCAGGCACAGAAGCCATACACAAAGGCTTTGTTTTGTGTACTTCCATTTCTATGAAACACTGATAATAACTAAGCCTAGAGAGACAGAAAGATGAGTGGTTGCCACTCAAGTTAGATGAATCCTAAAGGAAGAACCCCTGCTGTTGGGATCATCCTTTGAGGCCTGAGAGAGATAGAACTTAAGGCGTTTTAGTTCACAAACAATATAATTTAATACCCACAAGAGGGTCCAGCACATAGAGGCCTACCCAATCATAGCTTAAGAAGAGGGGTGCCTCCATGTTCACCCAGTCACAGCCCGAGTCTTAGAGCTACCCTGCATGGTCCATTGTTTCTCCATAGCTATCCTAACTAAAGACAACCTGGCACTTGATGTTTTGATAGTGGCTGTCAGGTTGATAATGGATCTGTACTGCTTCAGCCTGGCTCTGACATGTGTCAAAGTGTTTGAAATGCACTAGGAAACTCCCTAAAACCCTACTCAGACTACAAAGTGTCAGTCCAGGGGATTCCTCACCTATCTCATTCCCAATCTTATTAGCAGTATTAATAAAGTGTCCATCATTTCCTTAGAGACTATGTATCAGGACACCACACCAATAAGGTGGTACTCTTGAAAAGAAATCTGATAGACTAGGAGAAAGGGAAAGGGAGACATCTCATACCACCCATCCTACATACACCCATCAACCAAGTGGGAAGCCTCAGAAGAGGCTTTGTGATATAAAGGTAGGGACAGTTTGCTAGACTAGTCTATGAGTGATGTTCCAGGGGAAGGTGTGGAAAGATGGAGGCAGAGTCTGTCACAGCTCAGGGCAGCACAGAGACATTTAAGCACAATGATGGAATTTGACAACTTACCAGCCTATGGTGTGCTTGAAGTCTTCTGGCTTGAAATATATCTAAGAATGTCTTCCACAGATTAAGTGCCTTCTGTCATTTGTCAGTACTGCCCAGGTACATGTTAACTTAATCTTTTGATGCCTCTTTGAAATACCAAAGCAAAAGGGACATTTTCTTGGTTTCTTGGCTATGCAACCTGACTGCACCACAGTCGCATACTCCCCTTAGGCAATGGTTAAACAGTCAAAAGGATCCACACAATTCATAACATTCAGCTGAATCCTGTGATGAAGCACTGTAGGATGGAGGGCACCACAGCAACTAGAGGAGGCTTTTTTGGAAAACACACGTGGAATCAGTGTATACAAGCATCTCCCTGCTGCATTGGCCTAGACTGTGTCTAAAGACCATCTGCCTAATTATCTGACCCTAATATTTAAAAAGGAAAATGTCCTGTCCTTGAGGTTGGAAGTAGGATCCTATGTTTGTATCTAGTGCTGAGCATGCAGTCTCTGTTGAAGCAGGGCAAGGCAAGGGCAGTAATGAATACCTACCTTTATGTCAAGATTTTTGCTCTAGACCTCCTAGCAACAGAGATTGTGGTCCTTTCTTAGCACTCAAGGTCGCTTGCCTATCCTAACCACCCGTGATTCTCTAAAGCTGCTTGTCTTGCAAGCCTGTAAAAGCTGGCAATCTTGTTTGAAAACTTCAGCTACAGTTTATGGGAACATTTTTTTTCAAAACCAACATGCAAATGATACATGCATAGAAATAAATAGTATAAATTTGGATTTTTTTACCTGTACCTCTGAATTTATCTAAGTCTTTAATTTCTCCCTTCCTGTAAGCCCAGTCTGGTATGCACAGATATGCACCTAGATATACACAAAATAATGGATTGCCATACTTCAACTTACCCAATGTTCAGTGAAAGCAGAAGCTATGAAACTGAAGCAGGGCCTTCCCCAGGAAATAAAGCTGTTTTTACTTGTCCTTGATGTTTTTGACGGGTTTGTTCACAGTTCAGCCAAGGCATCCTGACTGAGTCCCAAACACAGAGCTGTATAGCCTCCTAACAAAGAGTGGTCTCACTGAAAAGCAAAAGCTCAGAAGAGCCTATGGCTGCCCCTTTTACTAAAATGGCAGCCAAGTTGGGGAACACCCAGGAGACATTCCTGAAGGCTGCCAAAGGGAGACTGCTTCCTCATTAGATATCAACTGTTCACTGCTATGAGCATCAGCAACTGCCTGACTGTGAACTTAACAAATCAGATCCAAGCAGCACAAAAGGCCCCTTGATGCCCCAAGGATGTAGCCTGTGATCTGTTTTGTTAATGAATACCCAGACAGAAGTGAGTAGGGATCACTTGTATGGATGCACTTGATGGGTGCAAACAGATTCTCACTTACGTTACCATTGGAGACCAGGCATAATTAATGCCTACCTTCACAAACTCTTGTAGCCTTATCCCCAATAGTTTCATGCCAGACCAACATATAAAAGCTCTAGGAGCCCTGCCAATGAATTTCAGATTCTCACCTAGCCATAATTCCAGCCTTAAAGTTCCATCTCCTCTCCCATCAACCTCATCCCACCACCATCTGCCTGCCTGCTTGCTTGTATGTATGTGTACACACACACACATACACCACACAAATATTTCATTATTGTTAAAACTTTTGTGTATTTTATGCTACCATGAACTATCATGTTAGGACCCAGCTATTGCTAACCTGGGTTCCCTACAAGAACACAGTTATGTGGATCTATACTATATGAATACCTGTTAATTCATCTCAGACATTTCAAATTTTAGATTATCGGATTTCTTTGGATTCTTTGACAGAACACAGAAAAGACCAAAAAGCAATTTGGAACTTGAGGGACTTGTTTGTGGGCTGCCCCATAAGTGACTAAAGGAGCTGCCAAGTTCACTATGTGCCACATCACTTAGGTTAATCTGTCTATTGGTTCACTCAGCTGCTATTTACTATTTATTTACTTTATTTGCTATGGGCCAAACACTCAGTGAACTGCTTCCTGAATAGCTTGAGAACCCTTGGGCTTCAGAACATCAACCAGACTCCTGGATATGAAACTGGGCATGGAAAACTGGCTAGGTTTCTTCTTCTACCCAACCATTCCTGCCCAACTTGTAGTATACAGTCCTCAAATGAATTTGACAAATGAGTCTACTTCCCTTATTTGCATCATGAGCATCTCAGAAAAGTCAAGGATGTGTGCAAGTCCTCTTACTCAAAGTTTAGGCCCTTCTGTGAAGATGCTGCAGTACTCTACTGTTAGGATGGATTAAGGTAGACAGAGAGGCAACCAGGTTCTCAGTGGAGGCACCGTTCAACTGGCCTTGACACAGTGTGATAAGCAATACAAGGCAAGCCCTGCCTGCTTCCTGAGGCGTAGCCATTGTTATTGGATGATATTGAATTTCCAGGGCCTTTCCACATCTGCATTGGGAATGTCACAACCCTTGAGGCCCTACATGCATCATATAGTCTGCCTATTTCAGTCAAGAGAGCAGCAACAGGGCCTAAGAATTCTTTCTCATCACTTCTCACATAGTAAAATTGGCCTTGCCATGTACACTACATCTACCTCCTGGACCAATACCATGCAGCCTCTGTTCACCACCTGGGCGCTACCCTGGATTAAATTTACATAGTTCATTTTTTTATGAGAGGATATGACAAATTTGAATAGTTCTAAGTGGTTCTCATCTGCAGGAAAGCCTGAGGCACACAACTCTGGGGGATTTACTTTGATGTTCACTTGGCCATATAAACCATGACCTTAACCTGCTGGCAGACTAGGGGCTGCCAGAATCGGCATCCTATCAGTATTCTCATTTGAATACCTCCACCTCCTCCCCCTTTACCTACTGATAGATAGATAACTCTTGGTTATTAACCCTTCTTTATTGACTGAATCTTGGATAAGAATATGAAACAGGAAAACAAAGTGTAGCTTTGCTCCTAAAGACTGCATTTATATATAATTGGCAGCTCTCCCCAGGGTGCTGATCCAACAGTGTGACTTCTTCCTGTTGTTTGATATCTTCCTAACCCAAGGATACATCTGCACAGAGGAATTCCTTACTTAAATAACTTTATACTTGGGCTTTCCATTTATTGCAAATTTTCCTCACTAAAAACAAACAATACAAAAATTCAGAGACTAGAAAGGGAATCACCAGTCATTCCTCAGAGGTGATCGCTCTAAAAAATTAAGTATTTGTTCATCTTAGTTATTTTTGTATGTACATAAGCAGTACTTATGTATGCATGTGGAGAAACAGTGTAGGTGTAAACTAAATGGAATAATGACTACAGTGACTATTCTAAGCGTGCACTTTGCCCTAAACATATATCTCAGTCAGCACCTTTGCATTTCCATTTCTTCAGCACTGTTGGTTTCTATTTCATCAATATACCCTGATTCATTTAAGCAAGACAGCGAAACAACCTGGAAGGTCAATATCTATTTCATGGTTTCTCTTCTTAAAAACTGGGCTATCTGTAGCTAGGTAAAAATTGAAATTGTTCAGCTAGTTCTAGTTGACACTTGAGTGCCTGCCTTGGGAGGAAGTTCATTTAGTGACTTCAGCATAGTCCCTGAACTCCCCTTTAAGTGCATAAAGAATACCCTTTGTGTGACTTTCAGTCTTGTTTAGTATACAGACAGCATATTGCTTCATTTGAAATGTAACAGGACTATTTAAATGAGAGAGAGCAACAAAGAAACAAAAACCATGCTTCCAAAAATAGACTATATTTTTATGATTTTTGACAAGTACAAGTCTAAACTGAGAGGTCTGTTTTATCTGTGAGCTTCCTAGCATTAACTTTAATGTCAAACCTTTCATTAAATTTGTATTCATTCATATTTTTCTCTCTCTCTCTTTTTCTTTCTCTCATAAATGCAGGGGACAAGTAAGAGAAGACAGGAAGGAGACAGTTTCCATTTTGCAGGCATGGCTGATGGGGGCTACCCTAATAAAATCAAGAGACCTTGCCTTGAAGATGTCACTCTCTCCACAGGCCAAGGTGCCCACCCTCCTTCTCTCTCTACAGAGCTGCAAATGCCCATGTTAACCATGAATCCCAGCTCTGCAGATCTGGGGGTGGCTGGACAGTCATTACTCCTTGAGAATACTCTTCTGGACAATAATGCTGTAAATAGCAGTGTGATGGCCTCACCATTCGGGGTGTCGTCAACTGCAGACACAGGGCTGAAAGGACATGCTGTTCCTTACTATGAGAAAAATAGCAGTATGCCAGCCCTAGACCAAGAGCTTCAAGATCTACTGGATGAATTAACCAAAATTCAAGAGCCATCTTCAAGTGATCTTGACCTTGAGAAGATTCTTGGGAGCAAGCCCGAAGAGCCTCTGGTTTTACAGCACCCCCAGGCTCCCCTTGGGCCCCCTGCCAAGCTTCCAGTTCAGATGCCACATATGGAAAGCCTTGGACCTAGCAAGGAGTTTGCATCTAGCTGCAGTCAAGTCACTGGCACGTCACTACCAGTCCTGCCCTCCTCCACAGGGATCAACTATTCCATTCCTTCCACCAGTAAGCAGATAGTCTCATCCAGTTCTTCAACGGTACAGGCTCAGGTCAAAAACCAGGTCCAGAACATGCTCCCTGTCGCTCTGCCTCCATTATCTGTGCCTCAGTGGCATCATGCCCACCAGCTGAAAGCTCTTGCAGCCAGCAAGCAGGGATCAGCTACAAAACAACAAGGTTCCAGCCGCAGCTGGTCCAGTCTGCCTCCTCCAGGTCTCTCTCCACCTTACCTCCCAGTGCCCTCACCTCATCCACCACCACCATTCAGCCCACAGAACTTCACAGCATCCTGCATGTCATCCAATAGCTTGTCTGGCAGTGCTGTGCAAAACTCGCCCAATGCCTTACTCTCTAGCATGGCTCCCAGCAGCAATGCTGCCCTTAGGCCCACCTTGCCCTATGCTCCAGCGAAGCTCCCGGGTCTGCCTCTCAATCAGCAGCCACAATTCAGCCCCCAGAGCTCCATTCTTGCCAATCTGGTATCCTCTACTGTCAAAAGCCCTCAAGGACACCTGATATCTGCCCTGCCAACCAGCACCCCAGGGCCATCCCCACCCTACCGCCCTGAGAATCTCTCAAGTCCTGGCTTGCCGCAGCAGTCCTTCACTCCACAATACTCTCTGATCAGGAGCCTCACTCCCACCAGCAATCTGCTAAGCCAGCAGCAACAGCAGCAACAACAGCAGGCAAATTCCATCTTTAAGCCTATGACCTGCAGCCAGCAACCGAAAACCCTGAGTATGATTATGCAGCAGGGCTTAACAAGTTCCAGTCCAGAAGCACCTGAGCCCTTTACCTTCAGCAACACCAAGCCCTTGTCACATTTTGTTTCTGAGCCAAACCCCCAGAAGATGGCCTCCATGCCTGCCCCCTCCAGGCAGCCATCTCTGTTCCACTACCTGCCTCAGGCAACACCAGCACATGCTCCTTCTGCCACTGCCTCCTCCACTGCCACTGCCACTTTGCAGCTCCAGCAGCAGCAGCAGCAGCAGCAGCAGCAGCAGCAGCAGCAACAGCAACAACAACAACAACAGCAACAACAACAACAACAACAACAACAACAACAACAACCTGACCAGTCTTCATTCCTTCTGCAGCAGATAATGCAGCAGCCCCAGCGCTTTCAGCGCATGGTGGCCTCTGATTCCATGCCTGCTCTGCCTGGACAGGTAAGGCCACCTCCTGTCTGTGCTTCATTGGGAAGTAATTATGTGATATGTTATATAAACCTGGCTTTGGCCGGCAAATCCAGGCTATTAGCCTCACCAAGGCCAAACTTGACCCTGGAAAACCTTATGTAAGTCAGCTAGTTGCACATACAGTGTTCATGAGGCCAAAATTATAGTTCATGAGAGGGATTGATCAGCTCACCTCCTGAGAGGAAAGCTTCACCCATAATCTGTGCCCAAGGGAAGGAGTCAGACTTCTACAGATGTATGTACTATTTCCCTTGGACTGAGCCAGCCACACACCCGGACACAAATGCTTCCAAGGATGTATGGAAATCACTTTGAAGCATTTGGGTCTTGTCCATGATGGTATTAAACTGAGCCTTCTAGAAATGCCCCAGCAACTTCCTGCTGAGCACTCTCAGTATGTTTTTAATCACCATGCTAGATAGTGAGGCAGGTCTTAAAAGGAAAAAAAAAAAAAAAAAAAAAAGACAGACACCTCTAAAGTAGTTACTGTCATCATCACCATTTTACAAAAGAAGAAACGGAGGCTCAGAAAGTTGGCATGTCTTGCCCAGAGACACACAGTTAGCAGGAGATTAAAACCAGAAAGTCTTACTCCAAAATCTTTCTCTTCTTGAAACTACTTTTGTCTCACATTCCCTCATCACCTACAGTCTTTTGAATCATTAAACACAATTGGTTTTCCTTGGTGGTGTCTATCATAGTTTCCACTTTTCTTTGCTCTGATCCTTACCTGTATTAATTATCTATCACTATGTAACAAATTACATCAAATTATCAACTCTAAGCCACATGCATATTATTGGCTCACAGGTTCTGTGGGTCAGGAATCGTGGATTAACTGGTTCTTCTGAACGGAGTTTCTCAGAAAGTCACTATCATCTTCAAGTTCCATGGAGAAGGAGCTTCTTCCATGCTCACTAATGGCATTATTCATAGGAAGAGGCTCTTTATAGGGGCCCCATGCACTGTTTATTAGCCAAAGGCTTCTCCATCAAGAATCAAGCAACATGGCAGCTGGATTCATTCAAGTGGGTGAGAGACATGCCAGCTAGGTGCAAGGGTGGAGGCAGGGATTGGGAAGAGTCCCAGAAAGCTTTAAGATAGAGTTTGTTATCATCCGGATGTCAGCCATAGGGAATTTCAGGAAAGTGTGGCTACCAGGATGCAAGGCTCAAAGTCTTCCTGTAGAATACTGTTAGTCATGGTGCTTCTTTCCATTCACTGGTCTTTCATATGAGCTGATACAGTTGACCCTTAACAATTGTCCCAGTAAACTGTCCTTTACTCTAAGAAGTGCCTTGCTAGAATGGTGTCCCGATGCTGTTTCCCACTTGTTCAGATGTTCCCAGAAAGCCATATCCTGACTCCACATACTTCTTCAGACACAGAACCTGTGAAGCTCTGCCTTCTACTTCATTCCATAAGTGGAAGTACTTAGAGTTCTCTTGGCCTTTGTCCCGGCTGGTTCCCATACCTGACTTTCTCCTCCATTTCTCTCCTGTCTAACTTCTGCAACTTTTTCAAGCTCACCTTGTCTTTTCAGGAAGCATTGTCCTGAGTGACCTGGTGCTTCCACTTTCTGCTAGGCCACTCTGTTCTGGAGAGAAGTCAAAGAGCAGATGTTCGTACAGTGTTTGGGCAGAGAAGCACATTTCAGGAAGTGGCCTTCTCTTCAAAGGTGTACATGACAACTTCCTAGAAATAGACTCTTTACTCAAATCTTGTGGAACCTAACAAAGCATAGTGCCTGATGCCATAGAATTGGCTATCTGATGGGTGCATACAGCAGAGAGAACTCCTGAATGGGTGGCTGGTGGCTAGGGTGAATGGCATGAAGCCAGACCCAACAGGCAGGACAGGGCAACCACTTGGGGGCTTGAGCCTTTGTCCGAGGCTCAGGAGCACTGTGGTTTGATGTCATTATAGGGCTGTTGCCATCGCTGTGCGTGGACTACTGCGGCTCTCTGGCTGGAGCACCAGCATCAGCAGTGGAACTCTCTCACTAGCACTCATGGACATGTGCCACCATCTAACCTTGTGAGCCACTTTGATTTTTTTCTTATCTTCAATGGAATGTGTTTGTAGTCTGACTATGTTGCCACAGTGCCAGTCTTAGGGGGAAAATGCTTAATGATTAAGGTTATGAAGATTACTAAGGTGATATTGAAGAAAATGTTTAGGAGAAAGACTTAGCAACCATACCCCCCAAAGATTAGTAGTTCAGAAAAGGCTCCAAAGTCCCCTCACAGAGAGGGAGTTATCTTCCCAGCTATGTATAGTCCCATAGGCAGGGCATGGTATTTTTCACTCACTTGTCTCTTCTCTTAATCCTCAGAGGTAGGGGATTTTATCATTTCTGGTTAGTGTTAGAAAGAGGACAGAGAAGTCACCAGCATGGCCCACAGTCACACAGCAAATCAGACAGCCAAGCATCTGTGCTCACATACCTGGGAATAAGACACTGCCTCCATAATGTTCTGCCCCTACCTCCCCTTTTTTCCCATTTCCTGGGGAAATAGTAGTTGACTGAGGATTAAATGAGATACAACATCTAAAGCTCTTAGAATAAAACCAAGCAAAAATGGCTTTCTGTCACTAAGTATTGGACATGTGCCCTCAAATCTATCCTCTGAGGTTTTAAGACATGCTTCTCCAAAGCAAGAGATAGTCAGAATAGAATGGGGGCAGCTCTCTCTCCAGCCCTGTCTCTACCATGATGGTGCCAGGAGTTATGTGCCTTGTGTACCTTGTGGATTTTTTTTTTCTGAGGCTCAATGGAAATGGCAAAGAGTCATGTTTACCTTGTAAGTACCCCATTTCAACTTCTTGAGAATGTGTATATGCTCCTGCTCCAGCCCTTCTCAGTTCTCTGTTCACACAACATTCTTCCAGCCATTCTGAATCAACAGCTCCCCCTTTCTCAGCTTCTCTCCCACAAACTGTAAGGCCTTGAAACAACTTGTTCAGTCTTCCTGAAGAGACAAGAAAGAAAGAGGTTAGTGTTTGAAGCAAAATTTGATATCCTTGTGGAAGAAAAGATGGAAACCTCAAAGGTGGGAAGCGCATGATTCTCACCTTAGCAGCAGGGAAACAAACTGCACAGCCAGGTTGGATCTGTAGAAGCAATGATCACCTGATGACATGGCATTCATTAACCTGTGGCCTTCCCCCTGTATGGTTGTGGTTATTGTGGGAAGACTGGAGATGTATGTGAATCTGGAACTCAGTTTTTTTTTTTTTAAGGAATATTTTCTTTTAATGTCAGATGAAAATCAAACAGGTAAGGAAGCAGAAATGCACTCTAGCTGTCTATAGAGCTCACTGTGTTTCTTGGGAGATTTCCCTTTACCAGCAGAATAAATAAATTTATATAGATTACCTGTTCCATCTAAGCTACAAGGCAAATGTCATCTCTCCTCAGGAAATCAATTCAATATGGCAAGGCAGTGAGGGCACTGGGTGCACACGAAGTTGAGGTTTCAATCTAAAGAAGTTGTTGATGTTGAGTGAGCCAGGGCCAGAAGGAAAGTTTTCTAAACCCTCTGAGCCTCAGGCAAAACTACAGAAAGGAGCAGCCCCTATGCCATAGAGATCTGAGGAAGAAAAGAAAGACTCTGATAGTGAACACTTGGGACATGAGAAGTGCAATATGGTAGAAATACCAAATATGTCATAACCCTCTCCAGTGAAGAAATGTGAAAATTTGAGTCCAGGTAAAAATTTGTTCCCAAATAAAAACTGGTCCCAAATTCACAATAGGAAGTTGTCCTTTAGAGCTACTTTGACTTCAAATTACAGTAAAAGGCAAGGACATGAAATTCTTACTTCTTAGGTGAGGGATTCCCCTGCCAAAAAACAAAAAACAAAAAACAAAAAACAAAAAACAAAAAAAACCTTAATTTTCCCATCTTGCCCTTACCATATATTAATTCTACAAAATAATAGATGTCATTGTGACATATTCATACCTGGACATAACATATTTTGATCATATTCACCTACCTCCATGATCTTCACTTAGCTCACTTCCAATACCACTGATGCCTTCCTTTTTCTTAATAATTCTTATACTTTCATGACTGCTTTAAGCTTCTGCATCTTAGAAAAAAAAAACGTTGTAATGGTTGTATTTTGGAGTCTTTCATATACCCCTTAACACTGGGGATTACATCACCAGTTACAACTGTTTTCGGGCAAATGGACTTAGTTCATTCTTTCTCACAACTGAAAAATATTCCACTCTTCTTAACACCCTTTGTTTATCCATTCATATGTTGTTGATCAACTAAGCTAATTCCATATCTTGGTTATTGTGAATAGTGTCATGATAAAAATAGGCATACAGGTATGTCTGTTGCATATTGACTTTAATACTTCAGGGTATAAGCCAGAAATAATATGGCAAAATTACATAGAAATTTTAGGTTTTACTAATGTTTCTATGGTACTAGGGATTGGACCCAGGGACTCACATGTGTTAAGCAAGTGCTTCACCAGCCTGGAAAGACCTGCTTTTAATTTATAGAGGAACAATTATAATTATCTAGTGGCTACACTAATTTGCAATCCTACAAACAAAATATAACAGTATATCTGTCCCCCGTCTTCACTAACACTTATTTTTTGTTTATTTGTTTGTTTTCCTGATGAATACAATTCTGACTGGGGTTAAGAGTGAATCTCAGCGTAGTTTTGATTTCCATTTCCCTGATGGCTAAGCAGATGAAACATCTTTGCATGTATTCATTGGCTATTTGTATTTCATTTGAAAATTGTTCAAATTTGCCTATCATTGATTAGATTATTTCCTCTTTTTGTTTAGTTTTTCACGTATTTTCATATTTTGGATGTTATTCCCATGTCAGAAAAATAGTTGGCACGTATTTTCTTTCATTCTTCAGTCTGTGTTGTGTAGAAGCTCTTTAATTCAGTGAGACCCAAACTGTCAATCAGGGCTTGGACTTAGTGCA